TGTTTGTCATATGGCTCGGTGCATCTACTTTGTGCCTTATACCAGATTATGACTCCAATACTTCTAATTGTTTTCAAACAATGTAATTCCTATGGAGGAAGGCAATCCACAAGAAGGTTAAGAATTCCCTTCTGTACTGTCAGACTCTGTCCAGTATTTGTCCAGTATCTCTGCTAAAAACCAGAGTGATTTGAAGAGCTACCAGAATGGATGGAAGCCATGGAAGTCCACTACACAGCTACACAATTGGAGCCTACCTCTGCTAAAAGAGCTCAAGCTACTTTCAGTATTCTTGAGGAGTAGCTCCTACCTCCTGTATGTAATTACATGGAACAGCACAAGGGAATACAGGATATGACTGCATAACATGGAACTGAGAAAGAAGTATGCATTTTACACATACATATGCAGAACATGAAGGAAAGGGTTAAAATAATCTGCTTTTCAGTAAATGTCTGTGTGTAATAGTCCTCTCCCCATCCCACCTCCTGCCCATAAATTATGCGTGTTGAGCAGTGGCTACTAGCACACAGCTCTCTTTGCAAAAGTACAAAAGAAATGATGTCATGGTAACAGCCGTAGCCTAGTAATTTGTGACCTTGTCATATACACAAGATGCATATCAGAATGGTATAAGTGAAACAATACAAGGAATTTGGTACAGAAATAAAGACTGGCATTCTTATAACCATAGAGATTAAATGCAAACCAGTTGGATGCAAACATACATCCCATAACTCTAAACCAATGGGAATGTGAATTTACAATGCTGAATTAATGAACAATGGATTGTTCTTCTGCATCCAGTTGCTCACAAACAACCATTTCTGTAGAATTAATGTTCTCTTCTATTTTATCAGACGTTTCCAGACCTAACTGCATGTCATTGCCCCCACCCGCAACACCAAAGGGTTCTAGTCCCCCAAACTCTGCAAGCATAAGCCCTTTTGGGCATGAGCTATCCAGCAGTACAGGATGGCACACACTAGAGCCAGGGTCCTAACCACAACTGCTGGTATCTTCCTTAATTCAGACATTAAATAATCCTCTTTAATTACTGGATTTAAAACCTGTTAATCTTTTTGCATGTCTCATCAGCCACTTTATGAGTCTAAGAAGTAGCTGTATGGCTTTTTGAATGGAATACTGTACTGTCACTCTCTGAAGTGAACGGAATAGAAAACTGAAAGTAGTAACATCTCACATTAACTGCAGGTCATACCCCTATTCTGAGGAATCTTCTGAAAAAAAAAAAACAGCTTTTCTGCCACAATGCAACGTTGGGTTATCTCCAAATGGTAATATCACCAAATTTGTCTTTTTATTTTATTTTATTTTATTTTTTATTCTGGCTTGGTTCTCTGCCTCTCATTCAACTCTGAGGCATACTGTTTGTCAAGCTTTGATGCTTAGACAGCTGGACTCACTAAATCATTTTTCTGCTAACATGAAGTGCTACTGCATCTCTCACATTGAAAAACACTGAACTTCATTAACGCAGAAAGCTGAATGTGATAAACTATAAAAGCAAAAATCATTCTGAAGTTCATAATATAAAATGATGTTATGATCTAAAGTGAGAGAAGCAAGTGCAGTGTTGGAAGTTGCTCTGTTTAGGACTGTGTAGGGAATGAGAAAAGTAAATAATTGTTAGAAATGTTTCCTCTATTGTATTTTTATACAAAAGGGATAAACAAAAGAAAAGGCCAAATTAATAGCTCAATTTGGGGGGGGGGGGGGGGAGCATAAAACAAACTGAGGAAATCACAAATTCAGGATTATTACTTTTTGGTTTGTTGAGCCGAATGAAAGGCAGTATTTAATTTGTACTTAATCCTGCATGCTGGTCTGTGTCTTTTGGAGAGTTATTTGGAGAGGGATAACAAGACTAAGGAGATTTTTGAGTCATTTGAACAAAGTGCTTCAGATGAATCTGAACAGACAAGCACCTAAGTCTAAAAGCAAGTAAAAGAAAATTGATTATTTGGGAGAGATGGGGTGAGGGAGAAAAGATTAGGACAAGAATGGTGTTTACTGTATTGACTACGAGTAAATGATCTCTGTGTTCACAACAATAATTGCCTAAAATAGAAATAAGATCAGACTTGTAGCTAAGTTATCAAAGCCCTAGCACTTCTCATGGCATTTTAATGGAAAACATTAGAGTTATGCACATTCACAACATATTCAAGTGGGTGTAGGTATTTTATTTGCCAGCAGAATAGACATTTTTGTGCCTTTCTGTGGCCAAATTGGCTAAGTTGTTGGAAATTGTTTGTACAAACCAAAGAACAATAATTTGACTTGGTCTACAACAAATTTATTTTTTTTTTCTATGAGGTAACATTACACATAGACTTCTCAAGTTCTACGCCACACAGCTAGTGACTTACCATGTGGATTTTCTTTGCTGTATGCAACAAGCATCAATTTTACTTCATCCAAAACTAGTAATGGTTCTCCTCTGTGTGTCCTACAGTAACATACAGAGTTTGTGATAGTGATTCCTGTATTGATATGCCTCTTCATGCTTGCATCGGACATGCCAGAAAATAAAATATGCTTAGGGACCAACTTAAAACACTTACCAGTCCAAATATACAAACAGGTAAATATCTCCATATTGCTCATATTTTAATTTACTGGACTTAGAAAGATTCAGAGAAATGCTTCTTCCAGTGTCATCTGTGGAAAAGACTGAAAGGTACATTGCATTATTTGAGCCATTTTTTGGCAAGTATTTTAAATGTTGGGTGGAATTTGCCTTTGCTGTATTATAGACAGATGCTGCATGATAGAAACCCATAGAAGCTTCCAAAGTTTACCTGTCTCCTTTTATGTTTCAAAATCAGCATGCTAAAATACACTGGTGTTTTCACTTATACTATGGACTTAAATTTTTGAATGCACTGAAAATTTGGATCAGAGTACAAGTACCAAAAAATTAAGTTACCTTTATCTGTGTAAATGCAGCACCCTTGGCACAGTACTGGCACACATACACAAATCTGAAGGACTGATTGTCTTAATCATACAATATTTTCAAGAAATATTATCTCAGCTTTGGTTTTTAAAAATTAAGAAACCATTTTATTACATTACTCCTGTTATCCATTACTAGAAAATATAAAATATTAACATACTTTAAGGCATGAGAGAGCAAGTTGCCTTTGAGCTATTTTAGAATTGTATGGTATTGGTTTTGCAGAGTGGGAGCCAGAGGCATGTATCCATCTTCTGCTGTAGAAGTATTTAGATTCACATACATCTTCTCTCATTTAAAGAAGTGCTCTTACAATGTTTTATCTACTAGTCAGAGAAAGCTAATGATACATCACCTCTTACAGTTGCTAAACCACCTAAGTCTATTGCTTTCAGTCACCTACCCTCATCCTACAAATATGAATGGCTAACAAATCAAAACAACTTTCCCCAGGAATGCAGAGCATAAGCAGAAATGTTGAGGTGAGTGACAGTTGTGCGTAGGACAGAAGTGTCCTTTTTTTCATTTTGTTATTACCGATGTTGTATTTTTATGACCATGTCCTTAGGAAAATCAAGCAGGGAGCATTGTTTGGAGAGCTTCTGGGTGAAAAGAGATATTAAATGGAAAGATGAACAGGGATGAAAACAGAGATAATGTGCAGAGAAATGGAGGAGCCAGAAGAGGGATACACAGATAGGCAGCTGGAGCAAACAGGGCAATATTCCCTGGAGGCAGCTTCTCTCTGCTCTTTCCAGCCTCTGCTGCTCTGGGTCCACCAAAGTAAGTGGAGAGGAGAAATCCCTGTGCTGTGGGCCCTGTTGGCATGGAGTACAGTGGTGAAGGAAGGGATGCTGAGTAGCCACTTCCCCAGGGTCATTTGCAGATGGTACATTTCTGTCTGCAGGTGTAGAAAAATACCTTGTCTGGAGGGATGCTGCTCTGTTATACCAGTCTTTCTATATTTTTTTTTCTCCCTGCTCTCCCATTGTACTTACGTCCTTATGGGTTAAGTATGCAAGTCCTGTCTGCAGCAGTAGTTAGCATGTACTGTCGCAGGAATCAGCAGATAGACAATAAATCTTTTTGTATCCTGGTTTGCATTATGTCTTGATAGGAAAGTAAATCTTGCCCTCTCAGCAGCAAGCTATTCTTTCATTGCAAGAATGCTGCTGGTGAATGATGTTTCCAAACTGATAAATGTGGGATTTCCTATGCCTCAAGTTATTTTGTCTGTCTTGGGTGTTTGTTTCATTTTTGTGAAGTAACCTATCTGGGGGAAGGCACAGAAATAATTGGCCAAGCCTTTTTCTTTATAACCATACATCTATAGCAAATCCAAATGTGAAAATAAAATCATGCTTCACCCTGGTGCCGGGATGTTGAGTACAGATAGCTGTGCTTCCACAGGCACACTCTTATCCTATATCTCTTCAAAGCTGTTCATTTAAAAAACAGCTAATGCATGAAAGATGAAAAATGTCTGAGAAGAAAGTAGACTCCTGCACCCAATTTAGCTGCCTCCACAGCTCTCCTGTTAGATGACTGGAAATGCTCTTTCAAACAACTTAATTGCAAACATTACACTTCAGTGTAACAACTGGCTCTCCTATAGCTTCCACAGCTTTAAAATCCACCTACATTTTAGGCTTTGTCTGTTTTATTTGGTTTTCAATCCTTAATTGCAGTACTTGAAGAGGAAACAGTAAAACAACTTTTGTTTCTGTCTCTTTGTATTCATTTGACATTCTTTTCCTCCTCCGTCTCGAGGGCTTTCCCTGGCAGACTGCACACAAGCTGACTTTCAGCTCATGTCAGGGATGCATAGGGACAGACCTTTGGATAGACTTTTACAAGATTTATTGATGGCTTGAAGTCATTACCTGTGTCTCTGCCACATTTCCTAGAGGTTGCAACTTTGTCTCCTATTGCTTTCCTTCATGTATGCTAAATAATGTCTGCTTTTTTTTTTTTTTTTTTTCTGCCCTGCATCCTAATTCCCGATGGTGACAGGGCTTCTGCAATCAACACTATCATATTTTCCTTCCTGGAAATAAGATGATGAAGAAGGATATTACCTAGGAAAAACAATTAGGACAACTTAGGACAATTTTTTGAGTCATTTGTGACTTTAGCCACCTTGTCCTATTTCTGATCCTTAAATGGTCTCCATTTCTTAAAAATTACAACAATAGTAGATATTATAATGCAGCCTTGCAATACCACATCTTTCAAGTGGACAACTGAGGCATAGAAAAGTTAATGATGCATAGAAGGACTGGGAGAGAAAACCAGGAGGAGATAAGTATTTCTTGCTTCCTAGTCCCCATCTTATTTTGTCACATATACAAAACAGAGCAACCTTATGTCACGGAAGGGGCAAGAGTAAATTACAGTAAATCGCAGCCTGGAAAGCAAAAAGCCATCAGTCCAGTTCAAGGAATTCTGCAGAGATTGATACCACAGTACCATAAGCTTGCTAACACAAAACCAGTCCTGAAATACTATGCTGAAAAGTTAAAGAAGGGAACCAGATCTCTGGTAGCCCATCTGCTTTTCTGTAGCTACTGGAAGCTCGTGCAGCATCCACATCTGCTGTGCTGTGTGATGTTTCAGAGAGGCTCAGAAGCAGCAGCCCCTTGACTTTCTGCAGCTCCCGAGCCCCATTGGCTGGAAGGCAAAGCAGAGGCGGAGAGTGCCCTGAATATTTTTCTCCTCCACACACCATAAAGCAGGCAGCCGGTACACACTGTCTGACAGCAAGACTGGTGCTTGCAGTTTGAAATTAGTTTCGGCTCGGCAAGAGTCACTTGAGCATTTTACATTTACTTCTTTTAATTGAAGGGCAAAAAAAAACAACAACCCTGCATCGTAACAGTGAACTAAACAAGAACTGAACGTAGGGGAAAATCTCATACAAACTTACAGACTGTTGGGACTCTGTGACACAGATCACCGAGGTGAATGTGATGATGATCAGAAACTGCGTCTGTGAGAGCATTAACCAGCATTTGTGAGTTTGAAACCTTATTTTGTGACAGCAGTCAAAGTGTTCTGAACTGCTGCCTGCCTTGGTGCTGGCTTATTTTTCTTCTCTTCCCAAACTGAAAAGACAAAGGAGGATTTCAGAGGAATGCAAAAAGAACAGGAGTTTTAAAAGCAGGAAGCTGAAAGGGGGTCTCCATAAGATGAATTTCACCCAGCACCGTGGGACACTCCAGCCTCTGCATTTCTGGAATCACAGCAATGGACTGCATGGGGGTGCCAGCGAGCCCAATGCAAAGGGCCACTCCTCGGGAGGCTGCTACGAGCAACTCTTCGTATCCCCTGAAGTGTTTGTGACTCTGGGTATCATCAGCTTGCTGGAGAACGTCTTGGTCATTGTGGCAATAGCCAAGAACAAGAACCTCCATTCGCCCATGTACTTCTTCATCTGTAGCTTGGCAGTGGCTGACATGCTAGTGAGTGTATCTAATGGATCAGAAACTATTGTCATCACGCTGCTAAACAACACAGACACAGACGCACAGAGCTTTACCATAAACATTGACAATGTCATTGACTCAGTGATTTGCAGTTCCCTGCTTGCATCAATTTGCAGTCTCCTCTCAATAGCAGTGGACAGGTATTTTACTATCTTTTACGCCCTCCAGTACCATAACATCATGACGGTGAAGCGTGTAGGGGTCATCATCACATGCATCTGGGCTGCTTGCACAATCTCAGGCATTTTGTTCATCATTTACTCTGACAGCAGTGTTGTCATCATCTGCCTTATCAGCATGTTCTTCACCATGCTCATTCTCATGGCATCCCTCTATGTCCACATGTTCATGATGGCTCGGATGCATATCAAAAAGATCGCAGTTCTTCCGGGGACTGGCCCTATTCGCCAAGGGGCCAACATGAAAGGGGCCATCACTCTCACTATCCTGATTGGAGTTTTTGTTGTGTGCTGGGCCCCATTTTTTCTGCACCTCATCTTCTACATCTCCTGCCCCTATAACCCTTACTGTGTGTGCTTCATGTCCCATTTTAACTTCTACCTCATCCTCATCATGTGTAATTCCATCATTGATCCACTTATCTATGCATTCCGGAGTCAGGAGCTCAGGAAAACATTCAAGGAGATTATATGCTGCTGTAGTCTGAGAGGGCTTTGTGATTTGCCTGGCAAATACTAGACTGAGGTGGATGTGTTACTGTGTACTCAACATGCAGCAGACTTCTGAGCCTTCAGATCCTCTTTTTCAGCAGAACGTGGGTTACATCTTTAAGAGCAAACACCTCTTTCCCTCTCCCTTTCCTCTCATCTTTGTTTCCCATTCACGTGTAATTCATACTTCTGTGTAGTGTTTGTGATATCTACTCCTTGTAATTTATTTGGCTGGGAAGAGAAGTAGCATTTCATACCAGTTTGTAAGTGAGCAGATAAATGTAATGATGAATGTGAAATACTAAGAAATATGAGCAGCTATATGTTCCAACTGCTGACAAAATAAAAATCTTGCCTGAGTTACAGTATATATTGGCTGATGATGTTCCTTATTCTGTTGAAGTAATTACAGCTATCCATTACATTATGTACAACTTAAAATAGAGCATATGCTTCTCTGTTAGTGGATTAAAGGTTCCCTGGAATTAGTAGGCAGATTTTTCATAAAGGTAACTGGAACCAAGGAGCTGTGTTCATTCATTGTATACACTTTTCCTCCTACTCCAAAAGCAGCAATCCAGATCTGTGTAACAGTCACTGCCTACAACAATAAGATTTTTCAAACACTTGCTAGCCAGTCAATTGAAAGCTTGTTTTGTTTTCCAATATGATGATTGCTGTGTGTCTGACAATACCTTTTTGCAAAACTGAAATTGTTCCCTGGAGCATCAGTTAGCCCTTGATGTGTTTACTAGACTGGCATCCAGGTACACTAGCACCCTCCATTCACTCATGAAGCAGGTACAGTACTAACATTGACAGTGCCAGCACCTGCTTAAAGCTTTGCTGAGAGATTCATCTGATGAAGATGAAGAGGGGACTTCAGTTTGAACAGTCATTCCTTATGCTGATATGTGGGGAACATGGACTCAGAAGAAAATACAGCTTTGCTTAAAAAAAAAAACCTGCACTCTGTTCTGAAGTGTTATTGTGTTAGCAGATGAGATCCACTGCCTGGGTCCTCACAGAGGAGTGAAAGTCTGGATCAGATTGTCATGACCACCTCAGAGAGTACTGTGGACCATATAAGCTTTGTGGGGGCAATGCTAACACATGGAAGGTCTGCAGGCTGACAAGTCTGTAAACCCATGCTCTGTATCTGGCAGCCCTCTGTGTTAGTGCTGCTTGAGGACAGTTCACCTTCTCAGATGTCTAAGTTAGATGCTTAATGAGGACCTCAGGTCCCTGATTTTAACACCTTGAAAATGTTTAAAGTACAAACGTGAGTACACATTGAAGGCATTCCATAACATCTTGACAACATCAGCTTCTATGTAAGGGCATTAAAAAATAACTTTATTTATTCTTGGTAAGTATAAAAAATATAGTGTCAACTGGGAAAACACTTGGAAAGTTTTGATATAAAAAGTCAAAAATGAATGTAAAGAAGGATTTAGATTTTAATCCTGGATGTCTGATTTTACAAAGATAAATTGTAAATTAGTGGGATGAGCAGTCCTACCAATTTTACTGGAAACTGCTTGCTACCTCAGACAAGATGTTACGTAAGACAGATGCAATGAAATGCTGTTCATGAAAGCCCAATGCTTGCTGTCTGGGATTCTTCTCCAGACAGAATCTGATCTTTTAGTTGTGGGTAACTTGTCAGCATCTCATAAATCTGCAATAACATTTGGTCCTCTGCCTAAGAGCCTAGAGGACTTAAGGTGGGTCTCATTATCTTTACTTCAATTTACTTACAGGGAGAATAAGCAAGTTGTTTGTACATCAGGTTTGCTAGACCAGCAGCAGAGAAATCAGGTCTCCCACACTCTGCTCTTGTTCCCCTGTTACTCTATCCACCATACTTTTTGTAACAAACCCCTGTTGCCTTCTCTTCATTTCAGTAAATGATACTGATGCATCATAATGGTTGCAGTATGAAAAATGTTTAAATATATCTATCACACTAACACTATGTACTTTCTTCTGGAGGAACTATAAACTTTTCAATAATCTATCCCTACCTGGTTCCACTGGGTAGGCAATAAAAGATGCCAAAGAAGCAGGATTAAAGATTGGGGGGGTGGAGGGAGCATATGAACGTATAAAAATTAATAGTCTATCCAAAAATCTGCTGGAATTCTCCTGGACTTATTAAAAGCCTTTCCTTCTCCCACGAGACATGATAATAGCAATGCAGAAATACTCTGGCAATAATGGAAGAAATTGCTGTTGCCAGTTTGAAAAATCTCATTTGATCTTTTCTCTGCCTCATTTTCTTTAGCTATTTTAGGGCTCTAAGTTATGATATTGGTCTCCAGAGTTTTGCTTGGATGCAGAGAGGATCCAGTAGAAAGTGATACAAGAGGAAGACACTATCTTTTCTGCTCAGAATATTACCTCAAAAGTCCTTCTTTCTCTCCTCTGACTGTACAAGGAACAGAAACCTAATCTAAACAGATGTGAATGCTGAAGAGGCTATGCTTCTGTAATTTACTTCCTGAACTCACAGTTGATTATTAAAACTAACAGTTTTACTTCTTTTTTTTTTTCAACCCAAGGGGAAGAGAAATAACAATTAATTTTTATCATGCTGGTTGGAGGTTTTCATCAACAGTTTCCTTGTAGTTTTCAAAAATGGTGTGCATTTCTTTTACACTTATTTGGACTAAGTTTAGTCAAAAGAGTTTTGACCCCATTAATCTCTAAATCTCATTTAGAAATATATATTTTAAAACTAGCTTATTCCAGAGTTTTATCAACTTTCATATTGCTTAGCAGTTCTGTCTTTATTTTATAAAGACAAATGTATGTACATACTTTTTTTAATGGACTTTTTAATTAAAGAAGACATTTTCATTTCATGGTATTATTGCTAGAGTGTAATTTATTGAAATTGATGTCAAACTTCCCATATAGACAATTTTCCTATTCCCAGACACTTCGTTCCTTCTAAATAGCTGCATCAGTTTCTCTTTGCCTATAGCATGGCAGCTTTCCAGCAGGGAGTCACAGAAATTAGTACTGCAAAAGATAAAGTCATCTAGCTTGCTGGAGAGTGAGGACTGCGGAGGATTATCTTCCACACTCAATTTGCTGGAGCTCTTTCAAAATGTTCTAAGAAAATGAGCTTTCTTTCTTTAAATATCTGGGACCCTAATCACTATACCAGCTCGTATTTTAGCCATGTTATGTAACCACAGCATATTCCTCTGTGGCCAAGTAATGGTTTTGTCTCCTCTTCACAAGTGTAAAGACTTACATTTTCACTTCTCCTGGAGAAAAGGGACTAATGGATTTGCTCAGCCTCCGAGAACTCAGCCTTTGGCTGAGCTGGGGATAGGTGGTTGTGTTCTTTGACCTTTCCCAATAAATGGCTGTAATATAACACACAAAACTTTGAGTATTGAACCAAATATCTTTCTTAAAGAGGGACATGTCTTTAGTTTTGAAGTATCTTTTGAACAAAGCAGAGAACTCCAAAAAGCACTTAGGAGGCTGTAGTTGGTCTCAGTATAGTGGATTTTGAATAGTGCTCCAAGATCCCCTTTGCAAGTGAACCATACTGTCAGCTGGAAGGAAGGAGAAGTGCACTGTTGGACTCACGTGTTGCCAAATGTGCAACAACAATATCTTCAGTTATGGACTTAGCAGATGTGCAGCATACTTTTTTTTATTTTTTTTTTTAATGTAATTATAAAATGACTTTGTTGTTGTTAACACTGATCCTATTTCATAATATGTTCATTTGGAGATCCTTCATTCTCAGGATGAAATTCTGGTGAATAAGAATTTTGGTCCCGATTTCATTTCTAGTACACTGCATTGCTTTTATGTCTTGAACAAGAACCGCAATCTCAATCCCACCTGATTCAGAAATTACTGAATTGCTGGTTCAGAAATTACCTCAGATTTTAAATTAATATTCCAATACCTCCAATCACTTTTCAAATATTCTATGTCTTTCTCTCTAGGTTAAGAGCTTCTCTTACTTATTAAAAAAAAAAAAAAATAGAGACTGCACAATGTCACAGGACTCTGCTACTACCACGGATACTTATTGTCATATAAACCAGGGTATGAATTGACCAGGTCTGTTTTATCTGTTTTGAATGGTTTTGTCTTAGCTTCTTTTTCATGTTGTTGCCCACTGCATTTCTAGAAGAGATTTTCAGATCTGAGGATTAATAGTCATCCCCTTTAAGCCAGTAATATAAATATACTCATTAATTCTGCTTTCACCTATTTGTTCTCTTGCAAACATTGTTCATTTGCTTCAGTTGTTCTCCTTCCTGCGTGGTGTCCTGTGTTTGTATGTAGCTGGAATGCCACCATTGTAAGCTCTCCCAGCCATCCTCTGCCTGCATGTTGGGCTGGCCTTGGCCAGCAGCAAAACTCCCCAAGCTGCCACCCAGCTGCTCACTCTCTCCCAGCTCAGTGGGCTGGGGGCTGGAAGCAGGAAGATCTTGTGGTGGAGGTGAAAACAGGGAGATCACTGACCAACTACCGTCACGGCACCCACGGGCACCCCCACTTCAAGTCCAATTGCTGTGTACGCTGACATTTTGCTCCATTTCCACAGAGAAGCCCTTGCCAACATCATTTACCTCTTTTATGACCACAGGTTCTGTGGCTCTTTTTTTTTTTTTTTTTTTTTTTTCTTCCTTGTGATGAACTAATGAAACATCCCCCTGTTAGGCTCTTTCCTGCTGAAGAGCTCTCACTGTAGATCTTCAGATCCTGTTATTAGCCTCTGAATTAATGACTTTGAACATCGTACAGCTGAATCCCATCCTATTTCTATTATTTCAATCCTCTGAACAATCCACTTTCCCTAACTGATTTTCACAGAGGCCTTTCTGTTGAAATTGCAGCCAGCTTTTTACCACCGAGCTGTGACCCTACCACAACCCTCTTGACACAGCCCTGTGGGACCCTCAGGGCAGGCTCTGGGCTCTAATAAACAGGGACTCATTGTAAAACTTGCATATGTTGTGCCAAGCGTCAATAAAATGTAATTTATCTAGGTTTGCAGGTGTTGTAAATAAAATTGAAATTTGTACATGTGTGCAATATGCCATACTTAACTGTTTTTGAAACAAACACATTATAGTTCATTAGAGCTTTTTTCTTTGTAAAAGGCAGTGGGTGAGCAAAGAAACAGAAGCCAAATACATTTGGAAGAGGTTATCAGTGGAGCATAAACAAAACACTTTATTTATGCAACAATCTGCAACAAGCCTTTTGAAGTGTAGAGAAATTAAAATGCATTATAAAGACGACATTTTCTATAACAGTGCCTTCTCTTGAGATGACATCTCTGTGCAGTTCTCCTCAGATTTCTTCTCTTG